CCCCCCCCCCCACCCCCACCCCCCAAAAAAAAAACAAAGGAAGGCAAAGAAAACGAATTTCAAAGTGTTCGGCTAATTTTAATTTACAATTTACAATTCACAATTTACAAGCTATTTTCAATCCACCCATGTGCCTAAAATCTCCGAGTAAATTATCCATTCCCAAGTCTGATATCCGACGCTACGACGGCTATTTAAAAAAATAAATTAAAAAAATCATGGCCATGGCGGTCACGATGCTGACGAAGAAGTGTCTTCCTCCACCTCACGAAGTGACAGGAGGAGGAGGAGGAGGAGGAGGAGAAAGAGGAGAAGGAAACGGAAGAGTAGAAGGAGGAGGAGGAGGAGTAGGAGAAATTCGAGAAAGAGGACGAAGAGGAGGAGGAAGAGGAGGAGGAGGAGAAATAGGAGAAAGAGGAGGAGGAGGAAGAGGAGGAGGAGGAAGAGGAGGAGGAGGAGGAGGAGGAGGAGGAGGAAGTGGAGATGGAGGAGGAGGAGACATCTCACTGATCCCTAGCCATGGCAGATCCTTGGGATTAGGACCGGTAATTACAACGACCGAGTTGTTGTGGCACTGCGCGCCGAGCGCGGTCCCATCAACGGCGGAGAGAGGATAGAGCGGAAGCAAAGGCCGAGAATGACCAGCGATGCGCGCGAGATGATGTTCCTGTCCCTGGATACTGAAATACACGGTAGAAGGGGAGGAGGGAGAGGAGGGAGGGGGAGCATACGCAGAGGCCATCGGGATCCGGCTCGGTGAAGCGATACCACCACCTCCCCCCCATCCTCCTCCTCCTCCCCCTCCCCCTCCCACTCTACTCCCTTCTCCTCTTCCTCCTCCTCCTCTTCTCCCAACCCCTGCTCTTCTTAGTCCTTGCACTCTATGGTCACTATACAACAGGAAGCAGGAGCGGCAAATGAGTGCCAGGAAGGCCAAAACGATGACCGGCACAATGGAGCCGAAGATGATCGCGGCGATTGTCTCATCACTCCTATTGCTCTCTTCTGCGCCTATGTTCCTTGGATTGCTCCAGCTACTACGATAGATCGTTGGTCCCTGGTATGGCCCCTCGTATGGTACCTGATTGGATTGGCGGAAGTTACAACCGAGTGCCAGCTGCTTCCGTTCGACAAAGACAGGGAGCTCAGCCGGTCGGGGTACTAACCCACAGGCTTGCCAGACAAAGACAGGGAGCTCTACTCGGAGCTCAAACCGGACTGGAGACGATGCTTCTGGAGGCCACTCACTTGATGACGTTGTCCCTCCTGGGGATGCTGGAGATGATTGCCCCCCGGGGGTGGTCGTAGTTGTTGTTGACGTCACAAGAGATGACGGGGAGGACGAGAAGGAAGGAGGAGGAGTGGTGGCGGTGCTTGGTTCGCTCGCGTCGCAGAAGATGCTCCGCTGGTGGTAATTGTTGTTGACGTCACAGAATCCACCCGCGATGCCACCAGAGTCGAAGCTTCCCAGTGTGATTATGCCATAGTATACAGATTCTGAAGAAGAAGACGAAGATAGGGAGTCGGACGTCATCCTGTCGACCGTGCAGCGTGCTGGGATCGAGATGAGGCGGAGGTTAGAGACAGCGCTGCGTTCGCAAGGGGACAAGGTGACATTAAAGGCTCCAGTGAGCCAATTGAAGCGCGTTAAGMGAAATCCGCTGCTGAGTCTGGAGAGGGTCAGGAGAAGGAAAAGGGTCAGCTTGAACGTGCACGTAATCGTGCCACGTGGTGCTGCAGGATTGCCTGCGCACAGAAATGATCGACGATCACAATCATTGAAGAGACGTCTGGTGGAGGTAGAACAGGTGGAGGTGGTGACGGTGGGGGTAGGGGTGTGGATGGGGGTGGGGGTGGGGCTGGGCGTGGTACCGCAAAACGTTTTTCTTCCAAGGTCACGTGGCCAATCTCCTGCTTCGGAATCCGTTCCTTTGGAAGCCATGTGCTGCGCGCCGAGTCGTCGTCGTCGTCTTCTCAACCTTCCGTTCTCACCGCTCTCCTTGCCACCGGCCATGGCTCCTCCTACCCGTACTATCGAATTCGCCGCCGACATCCTCAAGCCGGCTTGGCTATGGAGGAGGAATTCTTTACGAACCTCTCCGTTGCTTACAGACGACCGGGCTGACACCTCCGGCTAACGGTAGCCAGCCCTGCTCTGAAGGTACGGACTCCAGTATCTCTCTCTCTCTCTCTCTCCTGTTGCGGAATTCCTTACGAACCCCTCCGTTGCTTAGAACGACCAGGCTGACAACCCCGGCTAACGGTAACCAGCCCTGCTCTGAAGGTACCACTCTCTCTCTCTCTCTCTCTCTCTCTCTCTCTCTCTCTCTCTCTCTCTCTCTCGTTCGTTCGTTCGTTCGTATGGGCTCCGGTAGTGGTGTCAACTCTCTCTCTCTCTCTCTCTCTCTCTCTCTCTCTCTCTCGCTCGCTCGCTCGCTCGCGCGCGTGCGCGCAACATACACGCACAGAGGCACCTCGCGGCCGGCCTCTCCTGGAAATGATTACCTTCTCAGTGACAATTGATCAGGATAATCCCAACGTATGTCCTCCATCTAGAACCGAAATCCCGAACCGACGACCATCAGCGCGGCTCCTTTTCTCGTCTGTGTGTGTGTGTGTGTGTGTGTGTGTGTGTGCGTGCGCGTGTGTTGCCATGTGTGCTATAATTCTCAACTCCACGACAAAATCGTGACTCTGGGTCTCGCTCCACTGCTCTCTACTCTGGAAAAAAATCGAGAACCAAGTAGCCAGCTCAGTCGGCACACCAATGGCTTGTTGAAATGCAGACGAGTTCACGATAATCCTTCTAAATTACCAGTGGCCGGTCAGCTCAATGATGATATCCCAAGCACACCCTTGTGACTCTAGAAATTCCCCACCTCGGTCCACTTGCTCTACAACAACCGACTCTCTATTTTCAAGGCTACGGG